GAAAACTATATGGCGGCCATCTTGTTTTCTTTGAAGTTGCCATTTTATCGAATATTTGAAGTGTATTTCATCAAGAGTGGTTACTTTTGTCACACTGAATGCTATTTAATTAAGTTTGTACATTTTTATGTCTTTAAATGCATGATATCCCTCACAACATCTTTTACTCGAAATTCTTTGGCGGCCATCTTGGATTTTCACTTTTAAACAAAAATACCCAAAGTGTAGCATTTGGCCCCCATTAGATTTGAAATCAGCAATGAAAACTGTTAGAATCACCAAAGAAAAAAACTTTATGGCGCAAAACAAGCTTTTTCATCTGACGCTCGGACTATATGGATGTGGTTTGTTTCCTCCTTCCTATCAAGGCATCTATCGTCCTGATCTCTCCTCCTTCTTTTTGTGTTTCTTACTCTCTTGTAACACCTCTAACCTTCGGCACTTATAAGAACTTGTTGTGTTGCAACCACTGTAAAACTCTAAAACTAAAAAAAGGATGGTTTCTAAGATTAATATTATGTTACTCATAACCCATCTAATTTCGACCTATCGGATGTTCACGTGAATCTCATGGTTCAGCTTCTTGAAGAATTTTAATGTAACACACGCAATTCTGTTCCAGACCTTGCCACATCACACCATACACTATCATACATTACTGTTTGTCCCGAGGGACACATTAAACATTTTCAGTGAGTAGTATATTTTGAATTTGCCGGGGTGGCGGGCGAAGCTCACTCATATCGATTTTGGACACCCAAGGGATCTTAAACGTGAGCAACTTGCACACGGGGCCTCCGAGATTTTTTTCCCGTATCCGAGAAGGCTAGGTGTTAGATCTTATCTACCATACGATCAGGAATGTGGCTGATAGACAGCAACAAGAAGGAGCCAAGGAGTAGCAGTAGAAAGGCTGCAAAAAGAGTCAGGAGCCCAGAGGAGGTGCAAAGGAGGTAGGGGGATGGAGCAAAAAGGGGAAACGAAAGCAGGCGACAGAACATTGTAAGAGAGCAGGAAAGGAGGTGAAAGGAGAACAATTTAAAGGTGAAAATTTTCCTTCGCTATCCGAATTCGGACTCTCATTCTCGCTGTCTCTTTCTCTCTCTTTCTCTCCTTCTCTTTTTTCTATCTCTCTTTCTTTGTCTTCCTCTCTCTTTCTCTCTCTTCCTTTCTCTTCTTTCCTCTCTTTCTTTATCTTTCTCCCTCTTTTACTTTCTCTCTCTCTCTCGCTCTCTCTCTGTATATATATATATATATCTTTCTCTATCACCGCCTTTTTCTTTCTTTCACTTTCTTTCACTTTCTTTCACTTTCTCTCTCTCTCTCTCTCTCTCTCTCTCTCTCTCTCTCTCTCTTTTTTTTTTTTCTCTCTCTCGTTCTCTCTCTCTCTCTCTCTTTCTCGCCCTCTCATTTTTCTGTCTTTCTTGCTCTGTCTCCCTCTCTCTGTCTGTCTGTCTGTCTGTCTGTCTGTCTGTCTGTCTGTCTGTCTGTCTGTCTGTTTCTTTCTCTGTCTTTTCATCTTTCTCCCTCTTTCATTTTCTCTCTCTCTCCCCCCTCCCTCTCTCGGTCTGAAATTGAGCGGTACCAGATTAAAGGGATATTAAACTACCTAGTTATTTAAACAACGGCTATCTAAACTTTCTAGGCCATAATTACTTCGCGATTAAGTTAGATTAGATTTTCTACGCATCGCGAGCTAGTGCTACTGATATCAGGAGACATTCAAAAGAAATTCAAAAAAATAATTGGTATTCTATAAGAACGACCAGAAACATTCTCCGTTTCAGGGGAAGTACACAATGCAAGCTGCAGATTGTGCACGCTAAAACACTAACAAACTGTCAAGATCTTTCGCTGTGTACATCCGGGTATTCCCACCTGAGAGAAGTGAAGAAAATTCGTATAAAGCTCTTTTCCCACAAGGGCACAACGTCGGACCCATGACGAGATTCGAACCCGCGACCTTACGCTGCGAGTCCGAGTGCCTAACCCCCAAGCCACCGCCACCACGAACTGAAACGGTTCCAAACATACATTACATTGTTTTCGATCTGGAATGAGAGTCAGTGGCGTCAGTTGTCTAGTGGTTAGGCTATCGGACCTGTAATCGTAAGATTGCGGGTTCCTGGGTCCGAGTCTCAGCTCGGTCCGACATTGTGTCCTAGGGAATGACATATCACAAGAATTTCCCATTTGGCTTGGTCTTTTCCGAGATGGACGTTAAATGGGAGGTCACACGTCTTAAATAATCTATTATTATATTGTTGATTGGGGCGTTAAACCCTATTTACTCTAGTATAGATTGTTCACTTTTGTCTGACAAGATATGAGGGTCGTTCAAAAAGTTTTGCCTCCTCTCCAATAACTTCTAAACTCTTCAAGATATCTTCATGAAATTTGGACACAATTGACTTTCAATATTATGTATACTCTCAGAGCACTCAAACTAAGGGAAAATCTAATAACGGAAGAACTTTTGAAATTAAATGGTCAAGTAGTAAAAAAAAACCCAGGAACTTACATTGCTCAAACAGTTTGAATCCAAAAAGAAAGAATTAGAAATATATCAACTACATAAGGGCAGGGGAGCACAAATACGATCAAGACAAAAATGGATTGAGGAAGGGGGAAAGAATACGAAATACTTTTTTCGGATGGAACGAATGAGAGGTGGTAGTAATGTTATAACTTCTTTACAGGATGACAAAAACAACAATCTGTATGGTCATGTAGATATTGTGGATAGCATTAAAAATCACTTTGAACGTTTATATAAGAAAGACCATAATATTGAAACAAACAGAGTTGATGATTTCATGCAAGGATGTAGCTTTCCAGTACTCGATAATGTTGATAAAGAAATATGTGATAACGAACTAAGCATTGTTGAATTAGATGCTATTGTTAATAAGTTGAATATTGATTCAGCACCTGGAATCGATGGAATTACCGCCCCTTTTTACAAATTCTTCTGGAGCAAACTGAGGAAACCTTTATTTACAAACTTCCAGCAGTGTCTAGAGACGGAAGAGTTATCTCCCACTCAAAGAAGAGGCGTTATTTCTTTATTACACAAAGGGGGAAATTTACGAAGGGACAATATAAAGAACTGGAGACCGATAACGTTGACAAACACGGACTACAAAATCTTCTCCAAAATATTAGCTATACGGCTACAGCGTGTTTTGCCAGTTTTAATAAATGAAAACCAAACTGGCTTCTTGAAAGGCAGGTCCATTTCGGAGCACATTAGGACACTTGACGACATTATCTACGTAGCATCTGAAAAAAATCTACCAGGTATGGTGGTATCTTTGGATTTTCAACGCGCATTCGACACTGTAGAAAAGGGAACAATATTGGCCACATTGAAAAAGTTTAACTTTGGAGAAGGATTTATAAATATGGTGGGAGTTTTAATGGCTAACACAGAATGTTGTGTACAAAATGGGGGATGGTTGTCAGAATGGCACAACACAGAGCGAGGAATAAAACAAGGTTGCTGCACAAGTCCATTGCTTTTTGTACTTGTTGCAGAGTTGATGTCAATAAAGTTAAGAAACAATAGCAGCATATCTGGAATGAGCACAATTTTGTCAGGGGAAATATTTAATTTTTGCAAAGTTTTGCAGTATGCTGATGACACCACTCTGATTCTAAAAGACCAAGAAGACCTTGCTTCAGCCTTGTTGGATATCGATTCTTTTGGTAGCATCTCTGGGCTCAAGCTGAACAAGGATAAATCACAAGGTATGTGGATTGGAAGTGATAGAACACGCACTGAAAAATTAGGAGGAATCAGTTGGGTCCCTAATGGGAATACAATTAAAATACTAGGTATTCACTTTAGTGCAACAGAGGAAGCATCTCGCATAGAACCTAATTGGATAAACAAAATAGAAAATATGAAAAATATCATGAAAATATGGATGAAAAGAAATCCATCCCTATATGGGAAAGTAATTATTTGTAAAACCTTCCTGCTGTCTCAGATATCCTATATAATTCAGTCACTATCTTTACCCAAAAGAGTTTTGAATACAATTGATACTTTGTTCTTTATGTTTCTGTGGCAGAAGAGGCACTCAAACAAGAAAGCACGCAAGAAAGTAAAAAGAACGATAATGTGTAGATCGATTGAGGAAGGAGGTTTGGGTGTTATAAGTGTTAAAGATCAACAGAAAGTTTTTCTATTAAATTGGTTAAAACGTACGGCAACTGTTACAAACACACACACACACACACACACACACACACACACACACACACACACACACACACACACACACACACACACACACACACACACTTGTCCACTATTGTATTGTCCAACCAAAGATTTAGCTGTAACATATACACAGTTAATGATTTGTCAAATTTAAGATTCATTTTCAAACGTCATTCTGGAAATTACACGAATGTATGACGAGACCGTGTAGATGCAGACACAAGGTGCTTGATTGGGGAGTTTGAGGCCAGTCTCCCTGAGGCGAGGGGATACAATATTGTGTGTAAATTGTTCCCTCTCGACTCGGGTTCGAGGATCCTGTGTGGGAATCTCCGCAATTTCATATTTAAATAAGTATTAAGTCTTTAACCCAATTGTGAACTTGCTACCTGCAAACCCCTTACGAAACCTCAAAAATAATAACTGCCACTGTACTAGCTACCTACTTACGTCCTCTCTTCACTTGTCTTGGTCCGATAGAATAGGCTAACACTAACAAGGTCACCATAGCAGAGACTGTGCCCACCATTTCGGAACTTCACGGTGACATTAAAGATGGTTCCAGTAGGGAAGGGGATAGCGGGTGCCCACATCCCTCGTGACTCATCAGAGCAGAGGAAGATTGGACTAACGCTAACATTATTTTAAAAAACAACAACAATCAAATAACAGAAGCATGTTTTCTTATAATTATAAATGTAAGCACCATCCCACATCATCACTTACCACCACCATCACGGTCATTTCTAAGTACATCATTGCTCTCAGATCCTTCACAAACATCTATAATTATCTTAAACATCTACATGTAACAGTTATGTGTCATAACAAATTTGTACGCTATACATTATTGGGCACTCTCATACGCACATTTTTCTACTAATCAGATGGCGTCAATATCATAGAAATGGGCAAGGGACAACCACCCAAAAAAGTATACTCTCAAACCCCCAAAACAGAATTATGTTATCATGTCACACCTTTATACTATTGCTGTTTACATCATGGAAGCTTGTGTACATCGTCGCCGAGAAAATGGCGCCCAGCAAACCTACGAATGTGCGCTTAAAGCAAAGAGCTGTTATTGGGTTCCTTACTGGAGAGGGAGCTGCACCCATCGATATGTATAGGCGAATGAAGCTTGTCTATGATGAAGCATGAGTAGATGTAAGTACTGTTCAAAGATGGGCAAAGGAGTCCAGCAGAGACAGATTTGCATGACCAAGCTCGTTGTGGTCGTCCCAACTCTGTCAGTGATGTTCAACACCAGGAGAGAGTGGATGAGATCATCCAAGCGAACCGGCGAATCAAAGTAAGAGGTGTCAGTGAAATACTAGACTAGAGATTTCTGTAAGGAGTGCTCAGTGTATTATCCATGTGTTGGGTTACAGGAAAGTTTGTGCACGGTGGGTTCGCCATATGTTGTCACCGGAGCTGAAATTGAACTGAATTAAAATTAGTGATGAACTTCTGGCTCGTTATACCGATGAAGGTAAAGCTTTCTTACGCCGTATAGTAACAGGAGACGAGACTTGGGTACACCATTATGACCCAGAGAACAAAAGACAATCGAAAGAATACAGACTCACCTAGCCCCAAGAAGTTCAATGTTGTTTCATCTGCCAAGAAAGTGCTTTTGACAATGTTTTGGGACTGCGATGGTCTGATTCATAAGGAAATTTTGGAACAGGGTTCCTCTATCAAGTCTGAACGATATATTGAGACCCTGAGAAAACTTAGAGCACGGCTGTCAAGAGTTCGGCCCGGAAAAAATGCAATTTTGCACCAGGACAACACCCGTCCACACACGAGTCAACAAACTCAAGATGCCATGAAAAGTCTCAGATTTCAAGAGACCTTACCGCACCCATTATACAGTCCAGACCTTGCTCCATCTGACTTTTATCTTTTTCCTAAGTTGAAAGGGTACCTCAAAGGAAAACGTTATGCAGATAACGATGAAGTTCAGGAAGATGTGCGTCGCTGGTTCAGAGTAAAACCACATGATTTTTTTCGCCGAACGGCATGCGACGACTTATTCGACGTTGGCGGATCTGCACCGACAAAGAAGGCGACTATGTTGAAAAGTAAAGGTACTGTCCTGTAGCAGACATCCTAAGCTTTCATTTGGTGTATAACTTTTGTACAAACGAATTGCTCCATAAAAGTGGTATTATAACATTTAAAGATGTAGCTGGTAGTTGGTGGGTACTCTGGTGTAGTTTGCTTCTTCTTTCCTGTCAAACATCTCTCGTTCTTAAATCTCTCCTCATTCTTTTTGCGTTTTCTACTCTCTTGTAATACCGCTAATCTTCCACACTTATTTGACATTATTGTGTTGCAAGGGCCGTAAAAAAAACCTCTTACTAAAACTAAATAAGGACTTAGAGGACACAGGTGTCCGATCAGCAACAGACCAAATGAAAATGTAGCTCCATAGTAAGTGTCACTACACGGTTGAATCAGGCGCTCGTCAATTTTTGGGTATGTACGGAGAAATTGGTGTAACATTAGAGCTTGATCATGATGGAAAACTAGAAATCGAGATACCTGACTGAATAATAATAATAATAATAATAATATATAACATTTATAGAGCGCATTTCCAAAAAAAGTAGCTCAATGCGCTTTACATTGGAATACCCATTTTTCAAAAACCTTTCTTACTACTTCCTTTCTTCTCAAGCAATATACATTAATGCACACACACACACACACACACACACACACATACACACACACACACACACACACACACACACACACACACACACACAGAGACTATTTTCATCCAGACATAGGAAAAGAACAAATGTAATGAAAGATAACGTTAAAAGCTTATGAAGGATAGGCCTGTAGGAACAGAAAATGTTTAAGATGTCTTTTGAAGCTATCAAGTGTTCTTATTTGTCTTAGTTTCATGGGTAATCTGTTCCACATAAATGGACCAAGATATGAGAAAGATCTCTCTCCATATGATTTGTATGATTTTACAGGTGTCACAAGTAGGGTGTTATCGTTCGATGATCTTAGGTTTCTCCCTGGTTTATATATACTGATAAGTTCTTGTAGATAAAAAGGAGCAGTTTTATTTACACATTTGAAACACATGACGCAGATTTTAAATATTATTCGTTCTTTTACAGGGAGCCAATGCAGTTCTTTTAATAATGGAGTGACATGGTCTCGTTTTTTAGATCTTGTTATCAGTCTAGCGGCATTGTTTTGAATTACTTGTAAACGATTCAAATATTTGTTGTTCAGACCTGCCAGGAGTGAGTTACAATAGTCTAATCTAGATAGGATAAGAGATGTTACCAGTGTTTTTGTGGTCTCTTCGCTTAAGTACTTTCGAACTAGGCCTATCCTTCTCAGCTGAAAATAAAGGGATTTGGACAGAGATCCTACAAACGAGCCCATTTGTGCAGTTGAAAGAGGTGTAGGTCGCCTGATGGCAAAATTAACGAGAAAATGTCCGCCAAAAGTTGGTTACTTCCAAATCTTGAGTGCCCTTGCAAACAGCCATTAATTTACATTTCTGTGGGCCATATTATACCACAACAGGCCACACATTTGCGGGTGGTTGGCTGATACTCTGGTGTGGTCTGCTCCTCACCCATCCTCCTTCTTTTTTGTGTTTGTTTCTTTCTTGTAACACCTACTCTTTGGCACTTATATGACCCTATTGTGTTGCAAGTGCCGTAGGACGCTAACGAATACTAAACTATAATACCGCACCCTCTCGTACCTTATAATACAATACAGTATAAAAGTATTTCATATCATGCAACATCATGTCATCCTATTCCATACTGTAATATACCATACCGGCGTCTGTGGCGTGGTGGTTAGGAGCTGCTCCGTCGCACGCAGGACACCCGAGTTCGATTCCCCAGTAGAGAGAATTTCAAAAGTTTTTAAAGATATCTAAATTGTGTCGATGGCAGAGAGAGAGAAAGAGAAAGGGGGGGAGAGAGAGAGAGAGAGAGAGAGAGAGAGAGAGAGAGAGAGAGAGAGAGAGAATGAGAATGTAAGGTGACATTTTTATTGAATATACACAGCAAAATTCAAGTCTCCAGTATTTGTTCTACCGTAAAACACTGATGATGTTGATGATGATGATGGAGATGATGATGATGATGATGTTGCTGCTGATGCTGCTGTTACTGATGCTGTTGCTGCTGCTGCTGATCGTGATGAGGAGGATGATGATGTTGCTGCTTTTGTTACCTTTCCTAACCATGTTGTTTGACATACGCTTGCCGAAGGACTGCTTCATGTTGTTCACCCCTGCAGCCTCACAAATCTCCTCCACAAGACTGTCGCTCACAGAGATACCCAGGAACTGAGACAGACGCCTGATCTCGCGTGGGAGATCCTGGTTACAGAAAACATGATTGAATAATTGTGCGATAAACGTGCTCGAATTATTGTGTAATAGAATTTAAATGAGCGAATGCTAGTGTATTAGAAATTAAACGAGCGAAAGATTGTTAAATTGAAGCATACGAGGGATTTTGCCCTAGAAATAAGCAAACTGTTGTTCGATAGAGATGATCGAGTTATTGTGCAGTAGAGAAGGGTGCATGATTGTTCGACAAAGATGAACAAATGATTGTACAGTAGAAAGGGTGGATGATTGTTCGATAGAGATGATCAAATGATTGTGCTGTTATAAACGAGTGAATGAGTGAATGATAGAGATGATCAAATGATTGTGCAGTAGAAACGAGTGAATGAAAGAATGATAGAGATGGTCAAATGATAGTGCAGTAGAAACGAGTGAATGAGTGCATGATAGATCTCGCGTGGAAAGTCCTGGGTATAATAGAAACACGCGGATGCTGATTTTGCGGCGACAATGTGTCGGTTACACGGGGATCAGATGGGTGGTCACTGGGGTGTTACCTTGAGCATGACACGAAAACCCTAGCTCAAAATACAGGGCGCTGCACAGTGGCGACCGACAGTGGTATGCTTGTAAACTGTTCTGTATTGGTGTAATATTGTGTAATAGTGTGTATTTATGTATGTATTTATGCATGTATTTATGTATGTTTGTATTTATAATTATGTATTTATGTATGTATATGTATGTTCGCCATTGTAAACCGATGTGCCCTTCTGGGACAAATAAAAGTGTAATAAAAAATCAAAAAATCAACGCGTGCTTATGCAATAGAAACGAGGAAACGTTTGTGCAGTAGAAATCACTGAAAGATTGGTCTCACATGTAAGGTCCTGTGCAGAGTAGAAATATGCCAGTGACTGTGCAGTAAACATCTCTACATATTATATATGTGAAAGTTCGTCACTTTCGTCGCCTAAAACTTCCGAACCACTTAACTTTCGAATTTGAACAAATTAACGGTGGTTCAGAATAATTTAAAGGGTGCACAGTTTCATTTAGGACCGTGAAGTCACTGTAGTTTACTTTTCAGTTTTTCATTAGTTTCGTTTAGATCTGATCTTGGGAAAGTCCGTCTTCTAAGATGCCATTGTAAACAAGTGAGGTTTCCGTTCACTACCGTGCGCACTGTGTCACACCTTTGAAATTATGGAGTGTACAACCACAAAAGCGGAATAGAGAGAATCAATCTATACATCTATTATATATTTATTGGCAACTTGGAAACACATGTCACTTTTCTCTCAAGATTTATTGCTCCATTCCAGTAGAGTGTAAATATTGGAGGCCGATAACTTTCAGTTGATATTAATGCACCGATCATTCCTTTCATCGAAAGGGGGCCCAGCCAGCTATCTAATAATTGTGCAATCGAAATTAGGGATTGTACAAAAGTAACGATCAAATGGTTGTGAAATAGAAATTTAATCAAATGATTGATCCCATGTTCAGTATGAATACGAGACATCAGGGGCGAAGGCTGACTTGTTTGACAGGGTAATCAAAGTGAAATGGGACCAGATAGGGCCTATAGATATCACACAAGAATCTTA